TCATGATAAAGGCATCTACTCAATTACTTTGGACGATGATAATTTAATAATTAAATATAATGATAAAAATAAGGAAGGAGAAATAATTAGTTGCTTAGCAGCAATTTTGACTAATTTTTTAATTTCTCTCAATCCTCGGTTTTTATTTTTAATTTCTTCTTCTAGGCTTTTTTCTTCTTCTTTACTTAAATTAACTAATTTTTGCCGGATAATATTGCGCTGATAAATCGGTAGTTGGTTGGTAATGTCAACAGCATAATCTACTTTATTTTCGGTTAAATATTGATAAATTTGTTGCTTATTAAGAGACAAAAGAGGACGAATTATTCAATATTTTTCCTGTTTGATTTTTGGTGGCAACCCTCAATATTCGACTAATGATTTTCGTTGCTTTTGGAGTAAATAAGTTTCTAAATGGTCGTCTAAATGGTGGGCTACTACTATATACTTAGTGAGATGCTTATCAGCTAATTTTTGGAAAAAGTTATAGCGGATTTGCCGAGCCCGGTCCTGAAAATTACTAATCAAGTCGCATTCCGAACCTTTAACTTGGTAAACTTCATATGGTAGAGAATATTTTTGACAATAATTCCTCGCCAACTTTTCGTCATAATCGCTGTTCTCTCTTTTTTTGTAGTTGACGTGAGCGACTACTAAATTAAATCCCCCCAACCGCATTTTATCTAATAAAAACATACTATCGGGACCACCAGAGACAGCCAGGATATATAACCGATTTGGGGAAAGTATTTTACTACTAATCAAGGAAACTAAGGAGTCATTTTTTTCTTTCTCTGGTGAATAAAGTAAACAAGTATTCCCGCCAAGATAACTGTTCCGGCTCCTAAGGTTAAACCAATAACTAGGTGATGATTACTTTTGCTGGGGTTCGATTGAGAAAGATTGGTTGATTGTGGTAATTTAGAAAAAGTTAAGGAATGGTCCTTTTGTTCAGTTACTATTGCTTTAATAAGTTGCAATTCAGGTTTTTTGTGTGTTTCTATTATTTCTTCTTCCTTATTTTTATCATTATATTTAATTATTAAATTATCATCGTCCAAAGTAATTGAGTAGATGCCTTTATCATGA